TTCCTGGCTATGCTATTGTCCCCGTGCGCTTGATGTTAATCAGGTCCTTTCATAAGCCAACAATGCGAGCTTGCATACACCGTCCTTGGATTATACAATGCGCAGCAGAACTGGAGGTGACTGCCATGTCTGCCCCGCCGTCACAGAACGCTGTTATGCGTTTCAAGCTCGGACTCAACATATCGCTTACCTTCGGCGGCCCATGGTATTTGTTTTGAGACGTTGGGTACAATAGGTACACCTATTGCGAGGATCTGCGGATGCTACTGTGAACGAGTTGCTGTTGTGTTGCAACGAGGAGTCGACACCGGCGGTGTGATGTCTAATGAATTCTAATCTAGTTGAATCTTGAAGTTGCTTTACGATTACATTCATCCGCGTACTTGATGGCATCAACATCCATTATGGCGCACTGTCAGGCCTAGCAGGTCTTCTTGGGGTCCATACTCAAGGGGTTTGGATCCATTGAGTGGCAACGGACTACTGTGTTCATACGGCATGCTTGAAGGGATTTCATGTCCTACCTTACGCTAATTGTATGGTTTCAGCATTCATTACTCGATGCTGCTTGTATTGTACTCACGAGGCTCTAATTTATGAACGTGGGTGGAAGAATGATCAGCGGCAGCCACTCAGCTGCTGTGTACGTAAGCATCCGCCAGCGAGATCGCGATGGGCTTCTTTCCTCTATCGATGTGCATGTCTTGCTCTCGTCTTGCGCGCAATTGTGGAAATGCTTATAAAGCTATGGGGCACCCTCTCACATTCCCTTCTACATCGAGCTATCCTGAGCCGAAAATCGTGATGCACTTGACTATCCAACGGCAAATGATCACATATGGTGAGCTCGCGACTTCAGACAGACAGTTGCGAGTGAATCCATTGAGATACTACAGACATGCGGGGCGATATATAGTAACGCACGAAAGGCGCGAACCAACACACGGGCGACCATCGCCTCCCAATGCCAATGTTCCACAGCTACTAACTCACGGAACCGCGCCCTCTAGTTCAAATCACGCTTCGATGGCGGTCGCTCCCCCGGATGTTTGAATTTAAAATGACGTCTGAGGGCGTCGTGTCTGTCGAAGCCGACAAGCTCGCCGTCGGCTTTCTGCGGGCAGATCCAGCATTTGTACGGCCTCGCACCGGGGTTCGTGCACTGCTCCAAGTGACGGTTGAGCTCGTACTCTGCAGAGAACGTCGCCTTCGGCATGTTGCAATTGGTGCAACGATACTTCTTCTCTTGTGGCTTCTGGCCACGGGGTGCCTTCGTGGTGGCGGGGAGAGAACTCGCAGTCGAATTTTGCGTCGGCGGAAGACTAAGACGTGGCACGACGTCCCTCCTGGGTTGCGCTGAGGATGATGCCTCTCCCTGGCTGGATCTGCTGCGCTTCTCGTCACCGCCGATCGGGTCGCCCTTTCTCTTGACAACGCGTGGGGTCGCCTGATCGACTCCTCCCGCGCTCAGCTGCGTAGGTTCCGCCCGCGCCCTTGCGCCCTCTCCTTTTGCGGCACGCGAGGGCTTAATCCTTGTGGGGCCCGTCGCTTGGTTAGGAGAAGACGACGGCTCGGGATGGACCGTGGGTGGACCGTTGTATCCTTGTGGCCTCGTCCGCTCCCAGACAGGCTTCCACGTGGGTGTTATGGTGGGAGCGAGGTCGAAGGAGTGCTGTCCGCGACACATTGTCGGCACGATGCGCGCGTTGGCGGCATCGCCATCCTGCTCGCGGTGGACGCGGGAACCGCCCTCGGTACATGTGGTGTATTCTTTGTTGCTTGTGTCCTGCCCCACATTTTGTGGGCCAGGCCCATGCGCGAAGGATATATTGCTGGTATCCTCGCGTGATGAAGTTGTATCAATTGAACGTCGGCGGCCTTCCGGCAAAGGATCGGGTTCTGGTAGGTGACCCTCCTCGACCTGGCTCAAGGGTAACGCAAGGCTGCTCTGCATGGACATTCCGACCTCTGGACTGGGGTCGAACTCCAGCCTAGGCTCTCCCGTTATGGGATCAAAGTCTAGGCTGTTGTGGACATCAAATCCACATTCATATAGCAACCCTTCGCTCAGGAAGTCATCAGACCTGATGCGCGGGAGATGTGTGCCTTCGTTTCTGCCAGTCCTCGACAGCCTTTCTTGTTGGGACGTGGTGTTTCCCATGAAAAAAGAGATTGGAAGTGAATGCTTCTGGCATGTCTCTAAGTATCTTTATATGAGAACAAAGATTGTGCGGCACTTACGTTACTATTCGCTTTTAGGTCCTTGAATCAAAAGGTGTTCGGAGAGGATGCGGGGTAGTACGCACTCGAGGTGGATCTGAGTTGGCTTACACTGCGCGCCTTATAGGTTGGATAGTCAAGGCTTCGGCGCTTCTCTAGCGTTCTCGTCGGACGACGGAGAAAATATCCAACAAACGTTTTTCCAAAGAAGGCCGTTCCATCATTTGGTAGGACTAAAATGGAAAGCGCTCTTGTGTGAGCCACGAGCTGAAATCATGCCGAGCTGTTATCGTTCTGATCGACCAGCCACGGCGTGCGAGTCATCTGTGCCATGTTATTGTGCTGAACCATTTGGGGCGAACAATGCAGTCTACATTGTCTGGATCCGAATTGAGGGATGACCAGAGTAATAACAGTAACACTCACTGAGTGTTACTACTTTGACTAAAAGTTGGAGCAAAATAGTAACAGTCGGAAATGTTGGAGCAAATTAGTAACAGTCAGAGTTGTACCTGGCAGGGTGATATGTCATTGAGGCTGGCTACCGTAAATCGGTCATACATCCATTGACTGCAGCTACTGTTCCCAATCCGGACATGTCCCTTTTTGGCAGTTAGGCTCGGTTAAGTTAGATTAAGTTAGATTAGGCTCGGTTAAGTTAAGTTAGGTTAGGTTGAGTTAGGTTCGGTTAGGTTTGGTTAGGGTTAGGTTAGGATTAGGTGGTATATCTTGAAAGAACTTTGTACTACTAGACATCGCAAATGACCCGGGACCTGTAGCAGGAATAAAGAAGAAATTCATTATGTCACAATATTAGATGTATGGTCAACTATCGCTGTGCAAAGCGCGCCAGTAGCGCACCATATTGCTGCACGTGACCAATGACGATCGTTACTATTTACACTCGACGGAGTGTTACTATCACCCCCTCGAGTGTTACTGTTACTGCTTTGGTATATACTCATCCGAATTTCAGCACAACCAGGGCTCAAGCCTCTCCTCGTCAGTGCTTGACCTCCTTCCAAATGTTGCGAGTACTCACTGTTCTCTCTCGAATTTGATTTATAGGGATATCCCAGACATTCTCTTTGCCGTTGATGGACTGTTTCATCTGCCCTAGCAGAGTTTCCTCTGCTGAACAGCATGAAATCTCATTCCCATATGATTAAGCTACACCGACGCGCCTGCTGGCACAGCAGTTTGATACCGGTACATTACTGCTATGAGCTCTTCAATATTTGCTTGAGGGCGTCGCCCCATGCCGAATACTACAATGGAATTCTTTGCAATTGGGACACATTTCAGTCATCGCGATTTTGCCAATACTCTCTGTGCGTTACTTCAATCACACAAGTAGCTTTGTTCTCCTTCAAGGAATTGTGGTACGTGTAGTATTTGTCGAGTTCGAGTGATGCACCGGACGCGCACGGGTACTGTCGCCTCTTGTCCGATCGAGTCTCTACTGATACATGACGCTGTACCTGATGGCAGCCCTCAATGCATTTGTGGATAATGTAATAGTCCGCAGAGATACCGTTGGAATAATCCTGCAGAATATTTGTATCTACACCGTGTGGGTAGGTAGCCGCTTGGGTTGCTGGAGGGCAGCACGGCGGCGGGACAGCAGAACGAGAACCAGACGGACAGTCGGACAGTCGGACAGATAGGCATGCACGCGGGACGCAGGACGAGCACGAATCTAATGGCTGCTTTACAATCCCATTCCCCTGCGTACGTCATGGCACTCGTTGCGCACTATCAGGCCCAAGGCTTCTCGGGTTCCCTACTGTACAACAGCTCAGACGGTGGCCTGGAGCGGGCAGAGGGTTGAGCGTTGTACCTTCGCGGCCTTATTTGTTCCCAGGCAGGCTCCCACGTGGAGGTTGCGATAGGAGCAGGACCGAAGGAACGTTGTCCGCGACACATCGGTGGCATGATGAGCGCGTTGGCGGTATTGCCGTCCTGTTCGCGGTGGACATGGGAACCGCCCTCAGTTTCCGTGGTGTACTCTTTGTTGCTTGCATTTTGCCTAGTGCTTTGTGAGCCAGGTCCGCGTGCGCAAAATATGTTGCTAGTATCCTCGCGTGATAAAATCGTATCGACTGAATGCTGGGAGCTTCCTGGTGAAGGGTCCAAGCCGCTGCACAGGTGTTGCAGATAAACGTGAATTCCCTCTCAGATATAGAACTACTAATATACCACAGTCTCTCGGCCCACTGCCGACTTTATAACTTACCCATCACTGTCATTCTGTGCGATGTCAATCATCATCTTGATTAAAGTTAGCGATACATCCGTCACCAAGTACAGAAACCTCATTAGCCGGGAGTAGTCGCCATCACGATTTGCCCTGAGCTGCTCGCCAATCAGTCACGAGTACACAGTGCAAGCGACATGGCGTACCCTGTTGAGGTGCATGTGGTATGTGTCTCTGAATTCTAAGCCAAAGCACACCAGTGGCATGTCCTTGCGTATCAGCGGCACTGACGCCAAAAGCCTGGACAGGCGCCCATCGCCGTCCTACACAACCAAATAGTCGTGTAAGCGAAGTGTCAAGAAGGGGCAGGAGCGCATTGCTCGCTTCAAAGGGATGGATGGTAACGAAGACGTCGCTGATCCACGCAGCTGCCGCAAACGGGTCCACGTCGTCTTGCCGAACGAGGTCCTGTGTGCCATAATTTAATCTATCGGGTTTGAAACATCACTAGCACTGCGCAGCTCACATTGAACCGTTCGCAGAACACGCGTAACTCTTTATCTACTTGATCGAAGGGGCAGAACTGAATCATCACGATTGGATTCTGCACCACGACATTGACACGCGCGTGCTGGCGGGTCTCCTATGTTGGTGTATGCCAATCGAGGTTCATGTGAGATATTGTCCTTGACGGAAAGTACACGGCTCGTCTTCATCACCTGATGAAGGCGGCATATAGCTTCCACGGTCAGCGTGACAGGCTCGCATTTAGCCGGGGTGTAGATCTCGTCGATCGCCTAAGTGTTGACTTTCGCCTGGGGACGAGACGAGGGGAGTAGGAACGCGGACGCGAGCGAGCAAAATGGGCGGATTGTTACAAACGCGTGGGGGCCAAGTACGGCCGCGCTACGGTACAAGTACTCTACAGGATCGATGTATTTTACTTGGCAATCATGCTACGATCGTTCTCCCGGCTAGGCACAGGGCGCGTCGGGTCGGCCCGCTCGACACCGCGGGCCCCAAAATCTAACACTAAGCACACGGAAAAGTTGGTGTAAGCGTCACACAATGCAGTAAGGAACAATTGCAGTATGATACCTGGCGAGTATCACGGAGTATGGCTCGAGCATCTGTGCAGCTGCGAACGGTACCAGCCACGATACTGCTGTCATCGACAGGCACCGCTTTCTCATCGAGTCCATCCATGATGAGGTCATACCGGGTCTGTAATGAAGATCAGAAAATGCAAGATATGATGGGCAGGAGAGACGAAAGAGTTGTCGCTGACCGATTCGTCAAACATTACCACTCCCTCGATAACCGTTGTCTCGATGCAATGCAAGTTAAAGAACCTGTCTGCGTTGCTTGCCTTCTTGCTCACGGTCTTCCACATTCTGTGCATGTATGCGAAGTCCGACTCTTTGATTTTGCAGCGTGGGAACGTTGCATCCGCCGTGATGGTGGACCGTCAGTGTTGACCTTGGCTGAAGTTCTCCGAAATCTGTTATACGCTCACTGACAAGTGGTTCAAGCACGTGTGTTTGTACTGGTGAAAAGGGAGAAGAGGCTTACGCTGTTCCTGAGTATCCAATAATACTGAAGGCCGAGTCTGACGAATCCAATTTTCCAGGGTTTCGTCTCTAAGGGCGACCAGAAGCTACATGTGGCGTATATTAATGCATCTCTCTCGGATACTGTGATGTCGACCAACCTCCTCGTATAAGTTGTGTGCAGTAACCTGGCTGCCCAACACAAATCGCATATCTGCAACCCTTAGCAAGAGATACGGCACCCGTGATCCTCTAGGAGTGCTTCCCACAGCCTCGCGGATGCAGCACAAGCCACGCCGTTCGACGACTCGACTTTGAGGGAGGCCTCAAGCTGCAAGGCGACATCCTTCCCCAGCGTATCCACTGGCAATTCCTGAAAAGCCATGAGTCAGTTGGGTCACATAGATATTGACGACGAGGACCAAAAGTACAGTGACTAGTGGGTGCTCGAGCGACGGGCGACTTGTGTTGAGGTAGCAGGAGAGGTGCAGATCTGTCATAGCTGTGACTCATTGTGAGGCCTTGAGGGACTTCCGACTGATTGAAACGGTTGCGCGGTGGCATTAGTACAATGGAGCCCGTCGTGGTTGAGTTCACACAGTCATTCCAGACAAAGAGATCGGCTGCAGCCGCATGAAGTCTCACATTCAGGAAAACGTTACCAGAGGAACCACAAGGAGGATACGACAACTTATGCTACTGCAGCACCCTTGCTTCTCTTGTGCGATCGGCGAGTCTTCTTGCCCCTCTCACGCTGCATCGCGTGCCAGTCCTCTTCTGTATGCCGGCGGACCACATGACGCCTCAATGAATGATCAGTCGAAAAGTCCCTGAGTCGGTCGTTTCCAGGCTGCCACATCCTCCGGCAGACGTCGCAGATCAACGGCTGCCGGTTTTCTCTTTCTGGGCTCATCCCGCAATGATCCCTCCAATGGCGTCCGAACGTATCTTCGCGGAAGCTGCCTCCACAGCCTGGACAGGTAACGTGTGGCACTTCCGTGGGCTCAATACGTATCTTCTTGACCTTGCGCTCCTGGGTGGGTTCCGCGCTTGTCGTGGTCTTGACATGAGCCATTTCATCATTGTCTTCGTCGGCATCATCATTGCGCTGTTGAAACGCGCTGACCCGCGCGGTCAGGAACGAGCTCGCAAGCTCGGGCGCGCGAGTAACCGGGGGCCGGAGGCCCCTATCGTAGTATATAACGACCCCGCGCGATGTACGTACCGCACGCGATTGTCCCTTACGGGCATCGCTACGCCCGTGGACAAACGCGCCCCGCACCGTTCGCACCGTTGTTCCAACATGCGCTTGTGCTTGAGTCCCTGTCTTGAGTGAGAGTGATGGTCTTGGGTCGTGGTGGCACACAATACCGAGGCGTCACGTGCTCCTGACGCGTCACTAATCTGAGCCGGCTGAGGTGACCTTGCGGGTGGCCACACGTTGGTTCTGACGTCCACGTAGCCCTCGCCAGTCCTGTCGTCCTTGATGCTGCTCATTTCCTTGTCGGCCATTCCATTGGTAGTATGACGAGGGGCAGGAGGGCATGCGGAGACAGTGGTACCCGCCTCGCGGTCTTGCTCGTTGAAGAGATCCTCTTCGCCGTCGGTGTGAGCGTCGTATTCATTTGTAGTCGCATTCTGATCTGCCATGTGCAGACCAGGTGCGAGTGCGGTGGATACGCTGTCCGTATCCGCGCATGATGTAAAGATCGAGGTATTATATACCAATCCGTCCTCGGACGCGATTAGGTCCTCACGGGTCATTGGATGATGGATATTCTCGGTCAAGTAATAGGGCTGTGCGCGAAACAACATGAGCAACTTGAGGGTGGCCTATCCGAGAGATACATACTACTGTACCGCTATCCATGTTCTCTGCGAGGTCGTCGCATACATCTGCTATCCACCCGATGTCTTCCTCCGACTCTACATCCTTTCCATCTACCTCCCCGAAAGATCCAAAATACTTGCAGGGTCGTGTACCATTGTCCATTGACCGATATTGAGTGTCGTGTTGCTGCCAGCTGGTCATCGTGCTCATATATATATAGCGATAGGAGCTAATGTGTGCCTGCTTGGACTGCAGAACAAGTCAGGAATCAAAGCGGATATAAAACTGGTTCTGGTAAAAATCAGGGATCGGAAAGCATGGTGAGTAGAGTGCCACTCACTATTGGCTTGTTAAATTGTTCGTTTCTGATCAGATTGCAGGTCCTAGGAGCGCTCAGGCTAAAAGCGATGCTTTGCCAGAAAGAGAGGTCTAACTCATGAGGAGATGACCCATAGGCCGCGCCCTCTATATATCAGACCGTTCGGGCGCCTACCATGCGTCTCTCGAAGCATCCGCAGACAGACATCGGAAGACCGTCTTGCTTCCTCCGCGCGCCATGACGATTGTGCATTTGGTTATCTGGCTTAAACTGGAAGGCGCTGTCCTCATAGACTGACCTCTAGACGAGTGTTGTCCAATCAGACAGCTAGGACGTTGATGAGTGGCAGGTGGTGCTCCTGTCCATGTCATTGTTCTTGTTCATATGGTACTGATCATATCCTTTTATAGGGCAACAGTGCGCGACCTCGCATGCACCGTTCAAGAGACGCCCAATGACGAACTCAATGCACCGCTTCCCTGAGGCGGCCCATGGTGCTCGCTCCTGGACTTCTCGGATTAGCATGTGCACCATTTTGATCCTGAGTGCACTAAACGACGAAGATCCGTGGCTGCCATCGTGGGCTACGGTGTCACTGTCGTGCTTGCAGGGGTCACGAGTGCGCACTCTAAAACGTGAATTGGCGGTTGTCATGTGGATTAGTGGGTCGTGTATCGTAGAGACTCTGGCTTACCTGGGCTGGTAGAATCTGCTCTGCGCGTGCACGTCTTCCGGCAGTTGATGGTATGAAGTTGCCTCTCTTGCCGTCATCACCGTTGACATCCATGCAAAAGATTTTGCTCGGACTTGTAGAAGGCCGGATGCTATAACGGATGTTTCGCTTGAAATTCAGAATCGACGCATGCATACACGCAATTCTGTGGCCGCATCATCATAGTATCCACTATCATCGTCTTGACGTATGACCTGGTGTCATGTACGGTGTTACGGTGGGCTGCCGGTCAGTGACTCTTGCAAGCTGAAGCGACTGCCACCTACCACAGGGCTATGACAGTGTTCTACTAAAGTATGTTCCAGCTTAGGTCGAGCACATATTGATGAATAGACGACAAGGGACGAACCGTACTTATGTATCAGACCGCCAGCAATTGAGCACGAGCATCTGAGCCCTTCGAGGAAGCATCTTGTGACAGACATTGGAACATCAATCATTTTCTTTGCGCTGTGCGTATCGGCCTCGGTTTGCGCTGCGCGTACTAGATGTCCCTCCCAGACCTGATAATGCATCCGCTTTGCTGAAGATGTGGAGAATCTAATTACTATGGGCCACTGGCATATCCTGTGCAGAGTATTTGTACACTACATCGTTCAAGTTACGGTACACGCGTGGACGTCATTGAAGATTGTTCTGTATATGTGCAAATCAGTATCTTTGTATGAATATTTTGAGTGCTAATGAAGAAACCGCGATGAACAAACCCCGACCATCATCACACAGGTTTGCTTGTTATACAGCGATAGGAGCGGAGCGAGTCTTGGGAACACCTTCGTGTGGGTTATGAAGCAGCGAGATGTCCATTCCAGCTATTGACTAGCCAGGCGAGATCCTTAGGATGTATTGACATCATCTAGACTTCTCACAAATGCGACCTAGGATATCACAAAGGTCGACTGATTTCCATATCGACTCGCTCGCGTCCGATGCGAGTCGCTGCACGGATACTGCAGATCAGATATGGAATTACTAATCCATTCGAGAGCGTTGTGTGCTACTGGCCCACGTCGCAGTCTCCCGGTCCACTGTCGACTTCTCAACATACTTGTTGCTCGCATTATTTGCGCCAATCATCATCTTGATTGTAGTTACCGATATCACCGTCACCAAGTACAAGAAATGCATCAGCTGGCGATAGTCGCCGTCACGATCCGCCCTGAGCTAGACACCAGTCAGCCACGATCAGATTGCGCAAGTGACGAGATGTACCGTATTGAGGTGCGAGTGGTATATGTCTCTGAACCTTAATCCAAAGCATACCAGTGGCAGGTCCTTGCGTATCAGCGGCACTGACGCCAGGAGTCTGGAAAGGCGCCCATTGCCGTCCTACGCGACCAAACAGTCGTGTAAGCGACGCATCAAGCAGGGGCAGGAGCGCACTACTCACCTCAAATGGATGGATGGTAACGAAGACGTCGCTGATCCACGCAGCTGCCGCAAACGGGTCCACGTCGTCTTGCCGAACGAGGTCCTGTGTGCCATAATTTAATCTATCGGGTTTGAAACATCACTAGAACTGCGCAGCTCACATTGAATCGTTCGCAGAACACGCGTAACTCTTTATCTACTTGATCGAAGGGGCAGAACTGAATCATCACGATCGGATTCTGCACCACGACATTGACACGCGAGTGCTGGCGAGTGACTCCTATGTTGGTGTAAGCCAATCGAGGCCCATCTGAGTTGTTGTCCTTGAAGTGAAGTACACGGCTCGTCTTCATCAGAACCTGATGAAGACGGCATATGGTCTCTACGGTCAGCATGATAGGCTCGCATTTAGCCAGGGTGTAGATCTCGTCGATCGCCTGAGTACACGGATAAGTTGATGTGAGCGTCACGCAATGCAGTAAAAACAAATCGCAGTATAATACCTGGCGAGTATCACGGAGTATGGCTCGGGCGTCTGCGCAGCCGCGAACGGCACCAGCCACGATACTGCTGTCCTCGACAGGCACCGCTTTCTCATCGAGTCCATACATGATCAGGTCATCACGGGTCTGCAATGAAGATCAGGCAATGCACGATGAGATAAGCAGATATAATAGAGCTGACCTCTGCATCAAACATAACCACCCCCTCGATAACCGTTGTCTCGATGCAGTGGAAGTTAAAGAATTTGTCTGCGTCGTTCGCTTTTTTGCTTACGAGCCCCCACATCTCGTACATGCGTCTGAACTCCGTCTCTTTGAGATTGCCGCATGGAAATGGTGCATTCGCCGTGACAGTGGATCGCCAGTACTAGCCTTCACTGAAGTTCTGAAACGTCTTATATGCATGCACTGTCAAGTGGAGTAAGGCACACTCGCACGAGGAAAGAGGATGGAAGCGTACATTGTTCTTGTGTACTCAACATCACTGAAGACCGAGTCTGACGGATCCAATTTTCCAGGGTTTCGTCTTGAAGGATGACCAGCAGCTACATGTGGCGTATATACAACACATCTCTCGGATACTATGGTGTCGACCAACCTCCTCGTATAAGCTGAGTGCAGTAACCTGGCTGCCCAGCGCAAATCGCATATCCGCAACCCTCAGCAATAGGTAAGGCACTCGGTAATTCTCTAGGAGTGCTTCCCACAGCCTCGCGGATGCAGCGCAGGCCACGCCATCCGACGGCTCGACTTTGAGGGAGGCCTCAAGCTGCAAGGCGACATCCTGCCCCAATTTTTCCACTGGAAACTCCTGTCAAGGCAAGAGTCAGCTAGGATGCAGCGATATTGCGATGAATCGAAGGCACAGTGACTAGTGGGTGTTCGAGCGAGGGGCGACCTGTGTTGAGGTAGCATGACAGGTGCAAATTTTCCATAGGTGTCACTTATTGTGAAGGGCTGAAGGACCCAGAGGATTGAAAGACGTGTGGGCCCGTCGAGATAGCCGTGCGATGGAACTCTTCGTGGCGAAATTCACACAGCAACGATAAGACTGAGGCCCCGTGGCTTTGTTTGGCACACCTGCCTATTCTGGTCGTCACCGTGGGATGTAATGATCACAAAAGTTTGATTATAACTCGAAGTAATCATGCCTCATTTGCGTTCTTGTGCCTAGTCTGATGTGTATTTTGAATGAGCAGGTCATTTGCAGATGCCACAAGATAGGCGCAGCACATATTTCGTCGGTGTTTATGATCTATGATCGTGCTCGCACGAGACAAGATTCTGATTTGATTTGATTACGGCCATATTTCTCTCGCGCATTTGTACCCTTCCCGACATGATCTATCCGCGTATTTTCCGCCCATCGTCTGTTGCCAGTTTATTTAGACACATCTGCTGATGAACACTCCCTCATCGAAACCTTTCCTTTTTACTTATTGTGGCGTGGAGTGCTGTAATCGATGACCTTGTTGCGTCATATAGCTCCTCCATCAACGGCCGAAAATCGCCGTCCCGATTGGCTCTGATCTACATGGGGATGAGCTGTGCAAGCCACATATATAGCAAGGAATGTACGCACGCTATTGAGGCTTTGAATGTATGTTTCTCTGTGTTCATGTATAATGCATAATGGCGGAAGTCCAGCTTTCAATAATGGAATTGAAGCTAGAATTCTGGACAGGCGCCCATTGCCATCCTATGAGTGTTTATCAAAAAGCAAGTAAACGAAATGTTATCGAAAGTGGTGGTAAATTACCTCAAATGGATGGATGGAGACAAACACATGACTGATCCATGCAGCGGCAGCAAAAGGGTCTATATTAGCCTGCAATAGCTCCTAAATGCAGCATCAGCGATTGTTCATGGTCATGAGAGAAGTGACGGACGCTACTGACGTTAACATGGTGGCAGAAAGCATTTAGCTCTAACTCAACTTCATCATAGGGGCAAACCTGGACTGCTGTGCCCTTCTCTCCGAAGGCCGCAGTAGCATTGAGAGGCGCCGTTACATTGAGGCGGGATACCTGACGAGTTACCCCAATATTAAGGTAGATGTATTTTAGCCCAACAGGTGCTTCGGGGAAGTAGCGGACACGATTGGTTTGCATCAGTGTCTCGTGAAGCTTACAGATCCCGTTGACAGTGAGGTGGATATGTTCAGATTTGAGGAGTTCGAACACGTCTCGGAGGGTCTATAGATCGTGTGTCATCTATCATACGCAAGATCATGGGCGGGGAACTCTGACCTCGTGAGTGTCTCTCAGGATAGACAAGATTTCAGCGCGGTCCATCGCTGTGCTAGTGATGATATGCTTGAGACTAGTGGGTTCCATTTGATGGTAAAAACCGACTTGAATCAATCTGGTAGTATCCTGTCGTATCAATGAAGCAGCAGCATTTGCGCCAGGATAGACGAACACTGACAGAATAATTGAGATCAACATTGCCCTCAATCTTGTTCGTCGCGAGGGCATGCATGTTGAGGAATTTATCCATCAGGATATGCGGGTCCCCCATACTACTCCATTCGTCACGTAGCTCTTTGATCTGCATCTGTTGTAATTTGCAGTGCGGGAATGGTGTCTCAATAGTCGATTGCCAACGTTGACTCGCAGCGAATGCTGGTATACCAATCTTATATTCTTCCACTGTAATGGACGTAAGCTGCGGGTATGTATAAGGCAACATGAAAGACAGTCCGTATTACGTTGTTCCGTGTCAAAATCCATTGAGAATGCTCGTATTTTGCCAATCCAAAACCCAAGCTGTGGGTCGTTCAAGATCGTCTGCAGCTGTGCGGAACTTAGGACAGCATGCCGTATAGACAACATGAACTGACCTCTTCGTACAGAGTTAAGGCGGTCGGTCGGCTTTTAAGAGTCATCCGCATATCTGCGACTCTGAGAAGGAGGTACGGTATCCGATAGACCTCGAGGAGGCTCTCCCAGAGCCGTGCTGACTTTGCGCAATCGACGCCTTCGGAAACCTTGAGCGATGCCTCTAGGCGTGAGGATAATTCGGGTCCTAGATCGTTGATCGGCAGTGTCTATAACTCAGACCGTCTCGGATGTGGCACGCAGGATCATAACGGATCAGAGTCGCACCTTAACCAACGGGTGATCCACTTGAGGACACAAATGGTTCTTGAAGCATTCAAGGTGAAGGTATTCCATAGTGTAATCGAGCGCAACTGAGGAAGACGCCAGAAGACAAGGCAGGAGGAAGAGGAGTTGCGGTCTGTGCACATGCGTGACATCGGGCCTTCTAGGGAAACGCCATCATTCCTGACTATACGGCGTCGTAACGTCCACCGTGACAAATCTCCGAGAAATATACAGAAATGCTCGTGTGAACTCTCCTGCCAACCTCTTCTTCCGATCATCGCACAGGCTTCGTTAAATGAAAGAGACACGCGGAACACACGCGCTCAAAGGAAAATATACCGAGATAGTGATACGTGTGCCAGGAAAATGGCGGAACTAGGACTTTTCAAAGCTCTCATATCTCAGCTCTGCATATCGGGCATCTGCGATCCCAAGACGTGGCGTCAAAATCCACTTTTCCCGTCATGGAGACGTCTACCAAGCACACCGGGATTGGGTGTAGCCACACGAACTACTGGTGCAAGGTGTTATACCTACCACGGTTGCACACTGAAACGGTTTATCTGGACACAAAGAATATAATAGAGGCATGAACACAGTTGCTGACTCCACGCTGTACTTGCGCGATATTCCGACACGTACCTCGAACAGGGATCGCGGCCGCTCCGAGAGATCCAATACATTCTCATGAGCTATTCCAGTATGATAGCCGACGTCAGCAATAGGTTGCCTAGGAAGGAGAACGTCTTGCTTAGACCAAAGTCGCAAGGAGTCATTGTATATTCGCAGGTTTTGTGGATATTACTTGACGCTGCGGCCTGAGCGTACGCAATAATATTATGGTTTCCACGCGACCTGGAGCGCATCAGGTCACCCTATGGAGACTTCGCGTCATTTCGACTCTATGCTTGGCTCAAACGTCCATACGTACACGTTGGTTTTCCTACAAACATGTATCCCAAGTATGTTGCACGTATATCAGAGGCGAAGACATGTTATTAGAGAAGAGATTACTTATAGAAGAAGTGCGTTCACGCCAACACAAGATTGAATTAGATCGTTTGCTCTTGTTGTCATAAGCTCAGTACTTACCGACGGTCGAGGTAGACATGTATGAGGATGCCGAAGCGGAGCGAATTGAACACCTCCTAGCATACTGTGCATGTTACCACTCATTCGACAGTGGCCATTGGGGAGTAAGCAATACGTACAACGCGAGTAGCCTTAACTCCGTGTGTCGACTATGATTGAAGACCAGGTCTGACGTATGAAAGCTTCAGTCTATGCAAGTCGTAGGGTCGCCTGCGGCTAGAGGGCTGAAGCTGAAAAGTATAGACATACCTTCCAGGAAGAACAGCGTCGAATAATCTCTCATACTATCGCAGCGGGCCCTTTCTACCCAGAACCCTCAGTGACTCTCAGCGCATGTCACGCTGTATGCTCCGAACGACGTTTCCAGCAGCCAGCTGCACAGCCGAAGCAGATACTAGAACGTCTACAAAAAGCTCCTGTGTAGAGTTTGAATAAATATTGAGGTGAGCGGAAGAGACAAGCCTCTGGAAAATGCTGTACCATTATAATTGGGTACGCGAGCGCAAACCCGAAGCTTGTGAGGAGAAAGTATGTGAGGCAGAGGGCCTGACGAGTCTATCCAGAGAGATTTAGGCAGAATGAGAAAACCAGGATGTGGCTCTCGAAGTCTAAGCTTGCAACCTGGCTATCGACCCATGGTTGTGGAGGACAACCTAAGGCGGGTGAGCATAGTACCCGTGACAAAACATGATCGAGTCACCATCTCGATCAAAATTACCTTTTTGGCGGTTGACCCCACGGGTACTCGGCGCAGATTAGCGCCCTCCCAACGAGGTTCGTTACTCTGATGATTGTGGTTCAGTATTTCGGCCTCTCATCTCATCTACTGTTGCTGTGAATCCACCTGTGGAAGAAGGTGTACTCCGTGCAGTGCAAATACAAGGCCGAATTACTCATTGAGAACATAAACTGATCCTCACCACTTTACAACGCCACATTATCCATACGTTTGCACTAGGTTCCCCAATTGAAATAATGACAGACCTCCATCTCTCCTGTTATCTCAATGCAGACCGCCCTGTGCTCAAAGACCCGGTTGTAAATGTGCAGTCTCCGCTCCTCACTGCGATGCAAAGCAGCATCTAACCCATATCTTCGCAGGAGCTGCCAGTGGATACCCTAGGACCTGACCTGGCTTCGCAGATCGAGGCCTCTCTCAAGGTCAAGCCGTCGAACGAGGTGGCATGCGCTGCATCTGCAAGACTGTGGGAACGTATTCTTGAGAGCCACAGGTGTCCCTACCTCTTACTGCGAGTCGCGGACATGCGGATGTCACTAGGCAGCAAGATAATGGCCTTGAGCTTGTACGGCGAGGTTGTTCTTTCCACCATCTTCTAGAGTGAATCTCTTCATTAATGAGTGCGCTCAGCTGCAAGAAGCTCTGCAAGATACAGAGCTGGAGGCATGGATTCGACAAACGCGATATTCTGTACTGTTGGATGCGCAGAGACAGCGTACGCTGCCGATCACTCGTTCTTTTCATACACCTGCTACTGACAGGAGTCGCTGTTGCTAGTGCGCTTATACAAGATCGGGCAAGGATTCAGCGCTAGCCAACGCTGGCGATCCATAACGACGGCGGATGGTGCGTTCCCGTATTGCAAGCTGCAGCGACGCCAGATCGAGGATATCCGCGACCTGTGGCAGGCCATAAGCAACATGGACGGCGCCGCAGGCATGTTCATCAACATGCACTGCATCGAAACCAACATTCTCGAGGGGACATTCCAGTTTGATTTGTCGGTCAGCCTCGCGTTGCTGATGCTACTCTCTATCGCCATTCGCCTAACTGTTATAACAGATGCAGAAAAGCCTGATACTGCACGGATTCGATAATGCAGTCGGCCCTGTAAAGTACTCGGGCATTGTAGGCGGAGCTGTGCGGAACCGCACCGTCGCGTTGTCGATCCTGCGCGATACTCGTCAGGTGCACCGCCATGAGCGCCTTCTGGCAATGTTGCGTCTGCTGATCCCGTATGTATGCAGGCCTGTGACGCAGTCCATGGTCTCGTCAAAGCCGACACTGTGACGCTGACTGTGAAAGCGATCTGCGATCTGCACAAGACCTTGATGCAGACCAGCCAGGTCTTGTACGTCAAGACGCTGCACGGGTCTCAGCTCTCCTACGTCACCATCGGAGCGACCCGACAGCGCTCATGCGTCAATGTGATGGTACAGAGCGCGTCCGTGAAGGTCCAGTTCTGCCCATTCGACCAAGTCGAGGCAGAACTGGAAGCGTTCTGCGAGAAATTCAATGTTAGTAGCGTGACCCTTATAAGTGAACGTCAAGCGCGCTGCTGATCATGACTATTGCCACTGGCTATGGCGTTCGCAGGACCTCATCGGACGAGATGACGTGGACCCGTTCGCAACAGCAGCATGGGTCCAGCATACATTTGTCAGCATCCACCCATTTGAGGTGTGTTTCCCATTCCACTTATGATCGTCTTTTGATACCTGTGCTTGTCCACACAGGATGGTAACGGACGACTTTCGAGAATCCTCTCGTCGATACCGCTGTTGCGAATGGGATTGCCGCCGCTTTGCATCCAGGCAGAAATCAAGAACGTGTATTATTTACGCCTCAACCAGGCATGTCCTTTATCGTCGTCGGGAAACAGCTTGTGGCTGATGTACGCATCTGTAGATCAGGGCGAATCGGGATGGAGACTACCGGGAGCTGATGGAGTTTCTGTGGACAGGGACAAAGACGTCGTTGGATATGGTTAAGCTGATCGCTAAGACGGAGAGCGACAATACGGCAGAGCACCACGCGACTCAGGACTGCGAAGTGGGCGCATAGTTTCGTGTACTCGAGGCTGATCGCACACTACCAATGGGACATGTAATTTATAAAGCTTGGGATAAGGCTCTATTAAGAATATGCCGCATGTGATCCCAAGGATGTCTATGTACTTTGCGCACAATACGTATGCGATGACAGTGCTGGTACCAGTTAGGCGCTGGCAAAACAAACTTTGATCGATCGACTGGGTATCCTCTTCGTTTCGTGCATCGACCTGCTTAAGACCAACCTTAGGCGTACGAACACCCATGCATCCAGTCCGACTATCTCTGCACTTCTTGTAAGCGTTCATCATCGGCATCGCTGGCTTCTGGACGAGCGCGCCTATCTCTCGTCTTAATACTCAGCCTTCAAATCGCGATATATTTGCAAATTGCAAGCGACGATTCTATTCTCGTACGGGAGCAAGTGGCTAGGAAGGCCACAGGAAGTATAAATACATGGACAACACCGTGTCCAGATACAACAAGAACAGAGCCATGACACACGACACGACACGACACGACACGACACGGCACGGCGACTACGTGCTAGCACCTTTGCTTCTCTTGTGCGAACGGCGAGTCTTCTTGCCCCTCTTGCGCTGCATTACGTGCCAGTCCTCCCCTGTATGCTTGCCCACAACATGCCGCCTCAATGAATGGTCGGTTGAAAAGTCCCTGAGTGGGACGTCTCCAAGCTTCCACATCCTCCAGCAGACGTCGCAGACCAATGGTTCACGGGTCCCTCTTGCCGGGTTCATTACGCAGTGGTCCCTCCAGTGGCGGCCGAGCGTGTCTTCCCGAAAGCTGCCTACACAGCCTGGGCAGGTGACATGTGGCACCTCAGCGGATTCAGCCCGCGTCTTCTTGGTGTTGGGTTCCTCGGTGGGATTCGCGCTCGCCGTGGCCTTAGGCTGGGCCACTTCATTGACGTCGTCGTCGTCATCGTCCCTGCCACGCTTGGCCCCTTGCCTCGAGCGACAATCATGGACCTCTTGATCCTTCAGCACGAATGTCGTTGAAGGGATAGCGCGCGTGAGAGAGGTTCCAGGATGTGGCGAAGAAGTCTCCGCTTGTGTAGATGGCTGTCTAGCGTCAAAGCCATTCGAAATAGAGGCGGCTCTTGGAGGTGAGCTCACATGCCCAGTGGACTCGATGGCCTTTGATGCTAAGGCACCACGTACCGCTGGCGCGTCATCAATTTGGGATGGCTCAATGCGCTTTGCAGACCGCCACAAGTTGGTTTCAATGTCGACATCGCCTTCGCTAGCGCTGTCATGCTCGGTGCCTCTCATGTCGTCTTCCTCATTGATCCTTCCATCAGCGGCATGCAAAGGGGAAGAAGTGGATGAAGCGATGGTGCCGTCCGCCTGGTGGTATTGCGCGCTGAGGTCCTCTTCGCCGTCGACACGAGCGTCGTATTTATTGTGGTGCGCATCCTGTCCTGCCATGCGTAGGCCAGGTGCGAGTACAGTGGATACGTGGTTCGTGTCCACGCATATACTGTATGCGGCTGCATTGTGTGCCAACCCGTCTTCGAACGCGATCAGCTCCTCGCGTGTTATGGGGCGATCACTTTCTGGTTCTGCATAGAATGCCTGTCCACGGCTGAACTTGAGCACCTCCAACACAGATCATTTGGCAGTTACGCACCATCTCCCCGCCCTCAATGTGCTCTGCGAAGTCGTCGCAGACTTCTGCTATCCATGAGATGTCTGGATCCATCTCTTGTTTCTCCCCATCACTCTGGGACGGACCTGCGCTGTCGTCCGGGAATATGCCGATCCAAGGGCTTCCAAAGTGAGAATCATCATCTTGGATCCCATGGGCCTGAAAACTGATGAACGGAAGTGTTGCCATTCTGCTCATTTGGAGACTGATACTGATATCGCGTATAGCGGATCGATTGCTTAGACTATGTCAACATGTTACGGACGACAAGACACGGCGGGTAGAGTGGCACTCACTAGCTCGTCGAGCCACGCTTTCTCGTTTTGAGTTGTGCAAGCGAACAGTCCAATCTCGCGCACAGAGCGTACGGAGCTACCCGGTTGTTGAATGCTGACGCTGATGAAGAGGTAGGTTATCGAATTACTATGAAGTTCTCATGTGATAAGGGATGCTTCTCCACAGAGAGAGGTCTGAAATTAAGGGGGGGCGAACCGTGAGCCGCGCCCTCTATATATTAGACAGTTCGGGCGCCTAACATGTGCCTTTGTACTCGAAGCATCCGTGGACAGGCATCACCGGCTGGCCTCTTCCACGCACAATGGAAGCTGGGTGCTTCACTACCAACCTTAAATTTAGAAACCATCGTCCTCATGTACTGACATCGAGACAAGCATTGTCCACTTAAATGGCAGGCTGCTGACAAGTGGCAGGTAGTGTTCCTGGCTATGCTATTGTCCCCGTGCGCTTGATGTTAATCAGGTCCTTTCATAAGCCAACAATGCGAGCTTGCATACACCGTCCTTGGATTATACAATGCGCAGCAGAACTGGAGGTGACTGCCATGTCTGCCCCGCCGTCACAGAACGCTGTTATGCGTTTCAAGCTCGGACTCAACATATCGCTTACCTTCGGCGGCCCATGGTATTTGTTTTGAGACGTTGGGTACAATAGGTACACCTATTGCGAGGATCTGCGGATGCTACTGTGAACGAGTTGCTGTTGTGTTGCAACGAGGAGTCGACACCGGCGGTGTGATGTCTAATGAATTCTAATCTAGTTGAATCTTGAAGTTGCTTTACGATTACATTCATCCGCGTACTTGATGGCATCAACATCCATTATGGCGCACTGTCAGGCCTAGCAGGTC